TGACGTTTTATTTCCGCGTCGCGCGCAACTCGCAACAAGCCCGAGGCCCACGACGCGCGTAAATGCGCGATAATGTCGTGGATGACGCACTATAATCCGGATTTGCCGCGATGACTAATGACATTAGGAAATTGAACTCGAAAGAGAACGCGGGAGTAGCCGGGCGAGAAAATATCACCCGCCGAACTCAGTTGGTTAATTCAATTTTTCGGCATTATTTATTTACGCGCGGTTAACTTCTATCAGCAGACAGGTACGTGACAATCGAAATATAATAAATAACAAATAAATAACAAAGCACGCATAATTGATCGCACATTAATACAGTGTTCGCCATCTTCTCCTCTTGTCATGATCGTCAAAGTCTGTATAATCGTCGTTATCCGTTTTTGTCTATCTTTTGTCATTTTTCAAATATAATCTGGCAATGTGAAAAAGGATGACTTTAACTACTTTAATTTTAATTACAGTAATAATATTTATAATTATAATTTGAAATTAGATCGACAAGAATATAAATCAATTAAGATAAATAATCGTATTTTTGTTCAAAGTTGATCATAGTGCTCAAGTATTAATTTTGATGTAAATTTATATACATATCCAATTCTGCAAATATTTATTATTATATCATAATACATATATTATATTTATTAGATATAATATACTATATATTTATTGTTTATATATTATGTAGTGTATAATATTCGTGCATGCAGATACGAAAGCGTATATACACTTGTTTTTATATAATATTTAAATAATTTGTATAACAGAAAGTTCTTCAAAGTTTAAAATTTAATTCGAAAAGCGAATTTAGTTCAATTATTAAGAGTTCAACTAACTCACGTTACATAGATAAGGGTTAACGCGTTCAATGCCGGTGACGGTGATGAATATACTAGTATTGCACGCAAACGCTTTGCTGATATTGTACTCTAATCTGCTACGAGGTAAAGACGTATTAGCGAAAGCATCTGATATCCAATTGCTTGAACACTAACATGAAATGCTTATTGATTGCCGCCAATACAATTTCATGTACGTAACCGATAAATCCCAGAATTACGTAAATTCATTTTTAAATTGTCTATAACCGAGAATATATAGAAACTTAATAAAGATCTTATATAGGAATTTCTCTATCTTAAGAATTTATAAAATTTATACGAAAATATTTGTCACATTTTATTCTTAGTGTAAAATTAGTTCTGTTTTAAATTGTCCTGGATGAAAGTCGTTGCCTTTTCTTAATACTTATCTTCCACTAATACCGAAAATAACAGCAGAATATCTTTTCATATTTGGAATTAGTGGGTGTCATTAAAACGAAAAGTCATAACGAAGTGCCACATCATGGAGGGTTGCGTAGAGCAACATACTGAGCCACGTAAATGCACGTGAAATGCATTTACGGTGGCGTATTGGCGACGAGAAAATTGAAATTTTGCCTGGCGGAACACTTTTCCACGTGCACCATCTGGTCGGAGAGTCGCGGTAAGAGCTTTCATTGCGAAATGTCTTCTGCTCGTTAACGAGTTAACGAGAAGAAACGCGGGCGAAAAAGGGCTGAGACTCGGATAGAGGCGCGATGAAGAGGCGAAGAGCGTTAGTCCGATGCTTTCTGAAACTCCCGGATGAAATTCCAGTTGCAAGCGTGCGGTAATGCAGAACCGACCGAATGGAGGATTGTTAATCCGTAATAATGGCGCTCTCGAAAACTCGTCTGCTACTTTCTCGCGCGCAACTAAACATTCCGTGTCCTGCATTAACGTCCACTTTTATCTTCATCGATGATCATTTTAGTTTCGTCACGCGATTTTTTACATAATATATTTGTTCGTCGGGCAATCAAGATTTTTTTGCAATTAGCATGAAAAAAGATATATCTTCTTGCATGTGCGTTTAAAATTGTCACGCGAACTTTTACCGATTGGACTTGTGGAAATCCGAAAAGCGAGAACTCTTTTTTCGCGACGTTTCTACAGCGAATAAAGCCAATTGTAAAATGAGTTTTTTTATCGAGTCCACTCGGATTAATTGTAACGATGCGATAACTGTGACACCGCAATATTTTCTGGTAGCTTAATCAAGCCATGAGATTTCACGCTATATATAAGTAGCATAAAAAAGCTATTCTTTTCTTGTAAAAGGAAAATCGTAGCAAGGAAAAGCTTAATATAAATAATATTCGTCTAAATATTTCCAATTTTTTTAGAATAAATTTTTAATAATAATCGGCTCTCGTCTGACAATAAATCTAGTTCATAAGATTTTTATGTACAATAACTCTTTCTTCTTTGATTTGGCGCATTGCGATCGTATGTGGTATGATGGAGCAGTTTCGAGCGTACAATTTCACGAATTGTCTTTAAGTAATAAAATTATTCTTCACAAACATAGCATGACGTACGAGAGCTATCGATGTGCTAACATTGTTTAGTAATTATTGCCGACGTTGCGGTTTTACGCGGTAAGAAAAAGGAAAAGAGGAACAGTCGCAATAGCTAGAAGAAAACATCGTAAAGTAAACATTACAGGATCTTCATAAATCGGCCTTTGAATCTTCGCAATCACTTATATTTGCATACCAAAGATTAATTCAGCGAGAAGACGATATTCATGAAAATGCATGTCTCGAGTGCGTTCGCGAATATCATAGGAATATTATTTTCTCCCTTGCAAGGGATAAAGTTCCGACACACGTTTTACTTGCGTGAGTAAGTAGAAGCCTGGTGAAAGTGCCGACGAAAGCAACAACTTGACGTAGAGTGGCGGACAAGAGAAGGGAGATATCGATTGTGTCGACAGCTTGCACTTCCGAAGCAGATGCAATTCTTTTATTCCGCGTTCACACGTCGCTATATGGATAAACTCAATACGTACCGGATAACAGATTTCACTGTACGGATGTTTCCAATATCTGTCGCTAAAATTCACGGTACACTCTACCTATTTTATTTGAACACTCAATTTATATAAGTGCGCATTTAGAATCAATTTCCTTTTTCCGTCCAACTTCCCCATTTATTTAGCTTCGATTCCATCGAATGAAAAACAGTGACATATATTAAATTAATAAAGCAAAATGAAATGTCTTTCTCATTGTTGTATTGAATCTGCGATCTCAATAAATAATCGTTTTAATTCGTAATTATTAATTATTAAAAACTAAAAGTATCAAAAGTTAACAATTATACAGAGCACTCTTATACATATTGCCTACGTTTAAGGAAAATGAAATATATCTATAAAAACTTTATACTATTTATACTATAAAAAAGTTAAAGATATGAAATATTAATTTTTTAATATTAAATAAACTTTTTAAAATCTTTACATTTTTGTTATATATTTCATATATTTCATAGATGAGAAGTACGATTATATGGGTAGGATGTACAGATCATAACAAAATTTACAAATAAGATAATAAAATGACATAGTAATTTATAAAATATATTTAAAAATTCTATATATACATAGAAAAAATGTTACAGTTGCCGGAAATAATGATAATTTTCGCCAAAACGCATCAATACATTTGATTGTGATAACCGTAATATAAACATATTTTTACAGCCATAAAGTTAAAGTATACCAATATTACGGTTATCACAATTGTACTATAGTTTTTATAACCAAAAAAACATATTGATAAGCGACTTTTGGTGGCAATCTGAGGCTATTTTTTCCATTAAACTATGGTTTTGTGAATAACTTTTAAAGAGCACAAAATTATTAGTTTAATAATTAATCATAACTAGAAAAAAACAATTTTTACATTATCATCGAGTTAAATGAAGTATCTACAATTTAACCATGATTAATATGTGATTGAGACTTTATTTTTATTATCAGCACATAATGAAAAATCGGAAAAACCATAAGAACAGTTGAAAATGTTTTTCTAATTTCTGCATAAGTCCTCGCACAGCTATAAATTGTATAAATGTTGGAATTAGAGTTTTTTATTTATTACTTATGTGATAAAAATTATAATTCTTCTAAAAATATTAGAATGTTCATCAATGTATCATGTCAAGGATAATTTGTTTTGGTAGTTAATCATAGAAATAAAAGTGATAGTAAAAAAATCTAATCTATTCTAAATGTGATAACGTGACGATTCAAACGTGGAAATAGTACCATAGAGATAATGTAAATGACCGTATTAGTAAAATATGAACAGTAATGAATAAATCGCATTACATGATATGCCAACGTTATTCTGCCAACACCAACATGCGTCAAACAATTTTGCAAAATTTTACACAATTATAAGGAATAACACCGTATTGTGTATCTCCGAAAATGCATTGCGTTACACTGCAGTAAATGCAGTTTAACGATATTTTAATTAATGTTTGTTGTAATTAAATTAATAATTAAATCGGTATACGAGCGGGGACCGCATCTGTATGCGATGTGGACACGAAAATTTCCAAACATTAAAATTGTACGGGATACATAACGGTCCACGCTAGTTAATTACGCGTGGCAATGATGCGTATTTCTGTTTCATTAAATGCGCTATCGCATTTAATCCTCATGTTTTTCCTTTCCATACTGCTGTGGCGTATTTCGTTTTATCACGTTAATGCAGATTGCGAGATGTTAGCATAGCAGTCGGATAATCACCATAGCTTTGGCAAAACGATTTTCTTTGTCAGTCGCAAAGATTTTCTTTGTCGCGCTAATGCTTACGACGCGTAACTTTGAAATTTTTGCGTCAAATGAATGATGCAAAATACATCGTATTCGCTTTCGAACTTCGGTTTTTTAAACGACCGCTCACAAAGAACTATGTATTTTGCTTATCATAAATTCGTGTATTTTGTCCGTGTACAAAATTATAACTTGTATAACAGCGGATCTTAAATATTTTCAGATTTTTTATTAGTAATAATCACAAAAATACTCGTGATTTTTTACGTTATAATTTTTTCACGATGAAGATTTTATAAACGTGTAATAATAATATATCTCTTTGATTACAGCGACAGTGGCGTGGCCGCGGCAGGAGCAGCCCTGTCCAATAGCAGGAGACTTTTGCATGAACGGTGGTACCTGCCTATTTTTTGAGACTGTCGGTGAACCGGCATGCAAGTAAGTAAAATCTCACGAATTTTTATAATAAATTTTACTTGTGTCATTATACTAACTTTTTAAAAAATATATAAATGAAGTTTTTTAATTATTAAGTTCAGAAAATCAATTCGGCGCGCAGTTCGAATGATTACAAATATGTATACATGCATGTACGTACATAATATGTATATATAATTTACATTGCATTATTTAAGCAATAAAGATCCAGCTTTCGCCGTTATGGGCATAAGTTCTATTGGTTGTGTTCTTACATGTACAGTCTAAAAATAAGATTCTTATTTTTTAATTATTATAAGTTTATTACATTAAAAATGGGAACAATGTGTCATTTACAATTTTTTTAAATCTATTAGCTAAATAAAAACAATTTATTCAAAATGAATAAGTAAGGATTCACAAGAATAAAATATCAGTTGTGAAAATAATTTATTCTAAATGAAATAGAGAGAAGTATTCAGGAGAAACGAGGAGATAGTTCTCTGATGTATCGGGAAAAAAAGGGCTTTAGCCTAGACTTCATATTTCTCATTAAGAACCTCAATCTCTCGAAAAATTGACAGCAAACATTTCGTAAAACTTCGTTCAACTCCATTAACTGCTATTGCAAACAAAATAAAAATCAGATGAATCTATTTTTGTAATGGAATTGGAAATAATAGTGCACGTTATAATATTTAGTGTTTGCATATATAAATAATCAGACGTAAAATGATACAAGCGAAATAAATCCTTTTATATACTATTAAAATTGAATAATAGATTAAATCCTGCTACAATGTACGTACAAAATCCATCAATTTGAATAAAACATGTTTACATACGCTACGTATGTATATTGCGTTTTATGAATTTACCACAGATTTATCTCACTGGATTTAACTCATTTTGCATGATCGCAGCAATTAAAAGCGCTTATAACGCTAAGTAGCCAATAATTATGGCTAATAATAGTTTTAGGTATCTACGTAATAATATTTCATTTATGTTTATTCGCATTAAGAATCGTAACAGATCAAATCTAAAACACTATATATATCTCATATATTCCTTTTAAGCAGTCAGAAATCGTCCTTATTTTTTTCTTTTGTTCAAAAAGCAAAAATATCCTATTTATCGAGTAATTGAGAAACCGTTTTTCTAATTGTCGAAAAAGTAGCATCGATCATATGTATAATTGTCTGATATCAGAAATGGAATAGAAATAGATAAATTGATTAATCAAATCATGATGATAATCGACTTCAAGTTCATTTATTTATATTCGTATAAAAGCGTCGTAATCATGAAATTAAAATATTATTTGAAAATAGAAAGAAAATGGCAAATCTAATTCCAAGAAAAGTAATGAATATTGAAATCATATTTTCCAATTAATTTTACATTGTTATTCAATAAAACATTCAATAGAACATTTTATATCACATATACTCGTATAATCTTACATTTAACTATAAAGGTATTTAATATTGAATAAGTAAAATCTATGGATAATCACATTTTTGATAAGAGAAGATTGTCTTAAAATTCAATTCAGTCCGTCATTAAAATTTGATTTTAACGCTATTTCTGAAATACCTTGTAAAGAGAGAAACGGAAAGAGTACAAACGACGAGAAAACGTTTTGCTCACGCTGATGTCTCTACTGGAAAGCACACGAGAAATCGAGCTTACGTTTCTTGTTACGCCCCTTTGTGCGGCCACCGACGAGTTAGCGGTTAGCGGGGTTGAACGAAGTTTCACGAAATGTTTGCTGTCGATTGCTCGAGTGGTCGAGGTTCTTGATAGTCGACGAGAAACGCGAAGTCTAGGCCGAGGCTCTTCTATCTTTTCTCGATACACCAGAGAACGATCTTCTCGTTTCTCCTGGACACTTCTCTCTATTTCCTTCTATGTGTGCTCCTCATCCCTCTTTCTCCATCCGACTCCTACGCGCGATACCTCTTTCAACAATAGATTCTTCCTATAGATTCCTCTTTCTCGCCTTCTCATTCTTCCTCCGAAGTATTCCTCTCCAAGTATCGGTCTTCTATTACCTTTTTCTCTATTCGTCTTGATTCTCTCGTTGTTTCTATTTATCTTCCTTTTAATCCACACCTTTATTACTTCTTTCTATAGGTACCTTCTATTTTTATATCGGTCATTGCATTCGTTGCTTTCTTTGGTTCTCGCCTTCATTGTTGTAAAGCCAATAACTGATATTTTTCCTTCTTTTCTTCGCGCCAACAGAAGATGGTTAATATCTTCCGGACTTATATTTTTTTTGCGAATATATCGATATTTTCTGTAAACGTAATTTCGTAGCGAAGTGTTCGAGTGCAGCGAACTCGAAAGTAACGCAATTTATGTTTTAAGATAGAGCTATCGACTTTCGCAATCGTCGACCTCGATATTACGGCCAACCAAACGTGTGCAAAACGTTCGGTCCGGGCTTCGGATGAATTTTCCAAAATTATCGAACCTTACTTCCATCATTGCTTTTTTCACGAGCGGTGCTTCCGAAAATTAAATTTCTTGATGACCTCTCACCCTTTCCTCCTTCCCTCGTCAGCCGCGTGTATTAAATTGATCGGTACGGCCGCGTAGCTGAGTATCCATTTAATTAAAAAAGTTTGCTCGCGAAATGTTCCCTAGCCGGACTTTCCAGCCAGCCGCAATACTCGCGCTCGTTTACGCAACGCACACACGAATGTCGATTTGTCAGAAATTTCAATTGTACGTCGTCGATGATGCACTCGGCAGCCTCTCGTTGGAGTTTTTGTAGTATGAATAGTAAAAAACCAGGTCATTCAAAAAACAAATGAGATACGTTGTAATCTTCTTTTATAATTCTTTGTTAGCTTGAATGGAAACTTGAATGGAAACAGCTACAAGCTTTCATGCGCAGAAAATTATGCAAAATGTGAAATAACAATTATATGATATAATACAATTTGTACACTGAGAAAAAAATGCTGTTGATTCAATTAAAGTCTATATTAGGGGCTGTCACTAACATAAGTAATTAATTTATATATATTTATGATGTATATTTTTAGTTATCATGTATATTTTTATTGACATAAAGGCCTTGATTATTGAAATAATAATTTATGTCAATAAAAATATACATGATAACTAAAAATATACATCATAAATATATATAAATTAATTACTTATGTTAGTGACAGCCCCTAATATAGACTTTAATTGAATCAACAGCATTTTTTTCTCAGTGTATCAATTATAACGCCAGAGATTATTATTTATAGAAGAACAAAATACAAGTAAACGATGAAAATAAAATGATATTAATTAACTGATTGATATTTTATTGTCAGTTTCATTTTATTGCTAGATATTTTTTTCTGGTATTAAGTGTTTGGTATCGATTTAAATAAAATTTGAGAGAAATTATGTATGAAAACAAAGACTTTATTATTTCTTTCTGAAACTAATTTACGCAATAAAAGCACTTTATTTTCGATCACCTGTAATTAAATAAATTCTTTCAAATCTTTATATTTTTTTTTTAATGTCTAGGGCTTTTTCATTTTATCATCAATAAAATTTCGAAGAAATTAAATCCCTTACAAGAAATAAACAAAAGATCGCAAAACACAATCTCGCCACAACACGTCTAAGCGTCAAATCTGCAGCATCCAAATTATCGCGGTTGCATTTTATCACATGCCGTCAATTCTTTTGGTCAGAAGGGGAAAGGAGGGAGGGAACAAAGAGGAGACACAAGCAAATGTAAACTTTTTCGCACTGGCGACGCTCATAAATCTCGCCCCCGAAGGTAACTTCCATCTCTCTCGTTCCCGTACGACGCAATACACCACCGCTATCACCTGTGTCGAGAGTCCTAGTTTCCCCTAGTTTGTTTCTGTTAGGCGACCCCCCTCAACTTGTTAACTTTACGTTCTTACCACTTACGACCAAATTGTCGCATAAAATATGCGCTGTGACGACAAGGCTAGCTCCCTCTCTGTATACCACGGTCCACGATACTTCTGTGCCCAACAAACAGTCTTCCTGCTTTATATATCTTCTTTTTCTTGATTTTTACGTATAATTAAAAGTACTATGTCACATTGTCGACGATTGCACCCATATGTGTCAGTTGAATTAGCATTAACGCCCGAGAGATTTATTTGCTCACTTTCTAAACGATGTAGAGGGTTGTTTCAGAAATGCAACGCGCTTCATTTAAATCATAATTAGTCAGACTGAAAACACAGCGGTTGCTCTTTTACGTTAAAGTATTAATGTAAAACTATGGAGGAAAAAGAGTTATTTAATGAAGTGTTTAATAAGAAAAATACGTAAATATTTACATAATTTCAATGCTAGATATTTTGTTAAAAAAAATTTTTTCTATAAGAGAAGTATATAAAAATTTGTTTATCACTTATCAAAATATCTAGCATTGAAATTATTAAAATAAATTAATATCTAGTATTAAAATTGTTAAAATCAATTCACTCTACTCGAATAAAAAGGTATAAAATATACAAAGTCAATCAACAGTTTTGTAATTTCTATGTAGACTTTTTGAAAGCAGTTAAATATTCGGGAAAATTTTGAAAACTATTATACCGCTCAAAAAATAGAGAGATAAAAAATGGAAAAACATTGCAAATACAATGTTTTGTAACCCGTATATTCAGCGACGCGACATACGTACTATATGTACAAGCGCTATTTGAAACACTGCTATATGTAGACGCTGTTATTCGAGTTGCATCAGATCACTCGTCACGTCTGTAGTTGTCAAGGCAGATTTAAAACGGATCGCCACCGGTAATTCGGTCAAACGTACCGAGATTGGACGTGCCAGCGTGACAATAAAATCAGTAGTGGATTTTGCGAACGCGTTCGCAAAATCCTATGCACGCAAGAATTATTTACACAAAAAAATCTACCAGGCAGCTCATTATGCGTAACTAAAAAAATATCCAAATAAAAAAAATAATACTCTTGAATATCGCAAAACAAAAAAAACGCTTATTTATCTC